GATAATTTATAATTTTATATAAATAAAATAAATTAATCCAAACATGAACGAAGGAGCAAAGAGAGAGGAGTAAAAAAAAAAAAAAAAAAAAAAAACAAAGAGAAGTGCGTGAAGTTAGATTTTTTATTTTCCTTTTTGATTGTTTTAAAATTTTATTAATTTTTAAACCAGGCTCCCCTTCCCTTAATTCTTAAGCTTCTTTATCTATTTCTTCCCTTTTACAGTCTACTATATTAAATGCTTCAGATATCAATTTCTGAAAATAGAAATCATTTTTTTTTTCTTTTTCTAGAAGAGATATATATATATATATATATCCAAATATATTAATATCTAATTCATACAATAAAAACTATTCATTTGTTATTTCCTTCTATTTAATATATATATATATATATATATTTTACTATAGACAGTTAAAATAGTTATATCTCAACTCATTGTAACAAACAAAATGGTCATTATACTAGCCGCCGTCAGAATATGTCTTTGGCATATACATACAGAAAGTAATTGTAAAGTTTTGACTTATTCAAACATAAAGTTTCATTTGTGAAAGTCTCTTATGCCAAGGAAGGTTTATTTGCTTAGCTAAAACTACCAACCAAAATCTTTGCATGGATACTTTCATTGTAGGAATTTAATAATCATATCATCCATAAAAAAAATTTACTAAAAGAAGGATAGATGGATGTATGAGGAAAATTCATGCCTAAACATGAAGAATTCTCAACCTTAAAAGGTCCATTTTTTTTTTAATTCTAAAAGTGACGCCTGGAATGTAATTGAGCCAAACAGAAAAATCACGAGATTTTTGTATCAAACTTTGCAATAAAGGATAATTTCTCTTTTCCTCTGATTTTAGGTTTCATTAGAGCATATAAAATATGTGTTAGATTTTATTTAATTGAGTTAGTTACGATTTTCTAATCTTTTATCCTCATTTATTTTTGGTTGTAAGTCTACAGATTAGATATTTGTAATTCATTTATTTTATCTTCAAATTAGTGACAATTTTTAAAGTTATTTGTTTCTTACAAAGTGTTCTTGACTTCTCTGCTCAATTTTTTTTTTCCTTTACTACATTATTTTTTCTACTTTTTCCAACATTTTTGGTATTAGGGCCATGACCACAATAGTAATTTAATTAGAATTTTATTGTCTCTCATTCTTATCTTTAAAACAAAGAGTTATGAGTTTTTGAATATTAAAATGAAAATATTATTTAACTCTAAAGATCTTTGAGATTTAATAGAGAATGGATATGTTGATCCCGATAAAAAGAAATAGTTAAGGAAAAATGAAAAGGACTCCAAGGTATTATTCTTTATATCCAAACTCCAAACTCTTAAATATGAGTTTGAAATCTTGCTGATGAAAATAGTAAATATATCCAGGTATTTATCAATAGAATGACAACAATTGTTAATCAAATGAGTGCATATAGAGATATGATTACATATTAAACTATTGTTACAAATGTTTTGAGGAGTTTAACTCTTAAGTTTGATCATATAGTAACTATAATTGAATAGTCTAGAAAAGCTTATATGTTATTTTATTTAACAAACTAATGGGTTCTTTGGAAGCTCATGGGGGCAATACTAGATAGATTTCTTGTAAACATGAAGAGAAAACTTTTCAAGTGAAAGGAGAGGCATTTATTATTAGAGAATATGAAAATATAGGAGAAGTCCATGGCAGAGGCATAAATAAAGGAGTTAAGCTAAGGAATTGAACAAAAGGATTATAA